CTTGTCGAATTCTTCAAGCTATGTAATCATATTTACCTCTGTGTTATGCGGGTGATGAATGAGCCTCAAATTACCAACTCTTATGTTCTGTCATGCTGTAAATCGCTTTTACTGTCTTTCTCGTATATACCCGAGATTTGCCGGAAGTGGTGGATTTTGGGTAAAGCTCCTCGCTCCTAACCGTAGGAGCGGAACCTCGTGCTTTCCGCATTCGGTTTACGCCTTGGCGAAGTGTTCTATGTCTGGCCTAGTATCCTAATCATACCCGTTCACATGGCAAATTACGACCAAAATCAGTAGGTAACAATGAAAAGCAAGTACTAATAGAATTTTTCGGTACAGGGATCCCTAACTTCAGGAGCAGGATCGGATGTGATCTTCAGACTATACTTATTTCTTTTACGTGCTCAATCTTATACATTATTTATTGGAGTATGTAATCGTAAAGCTAAAGTGCCTGCAGAACCCCCTTTTTTATTTAGGTACATGATCGAGATAGCTGCAAGTGCCGGTGTCCCATTTGTACCAGATCCCGATGTAATGCGAGACGATGAGGTTGCTCAAGCAGAGAAAATGTTAATTGATTTCAAGCAAGCTGGTGCTACCGGATTCAACGCCGGACCTCCAGGACCTCCTCCTCCTCCACCACCTTCCTCTACGGATGTGGGAAACGCTTTGAATAAGTACTCATGGGTTTAATTTCATTCCACTATGTTTTCAGGGTCTTGGATATGGTTGGAATCTTCCTCCAGGTTCTGTAGGTGGTCCACCTTTCCCACCATCTAACCCACCGCCTCCACCTCCTGGACCAGGTGACGATTTTGGAGGAGGCGGCGGCAGTGGAGGTTAGTGCGTACGACGTTGTTTCGTTGCTGGGAACTTTGAATTCTAACTTGCAATTTGCTAGGTCACATTTATGAAGTGCCGAACGTTTCACCTCAACGTGAAGACTTCAGTAATCCTGCTCCCAATTCCGCGTAAGTAGCGTTTTTTTTTCATTACAGAGTGAAATGTCTTAAAATTCCTAACAATTCGAACAAAACAACATGTTTTAGGCCACCATCAGGAATGATACAGTTGCCCAAAATTGGACCAAACGGTTTGCCTATCTACCCAGGTCAAGATGGTCCCACGTATCCAACTCTGAGCCAGAGGGTATGGTCTCATTTTTAATATTGACAAGTAGCATGGAAATTGAGTTGGATTGCAACTCATAATATAGGCATATTTTTGCAAAACACACCTTGATTTCAAAACATCCATGTTGTCCCGATATCCGTTTCCAATAATGCGGCGGAGTATTCCATTGAATTTATTCTACGTGTAGCCAAAGGTAGTCAAAAGTTGAACTGGTCAGCGCGACTTCATTGACTTCAGCAGATGAATTGGCGGCCAATCTCATCTCGGTGTTTGTTTGAGTTGGCTTTTCGGGATCTCTTTCAATTATTTGCACTTCCTTTTTTGTATACGATTAAAGGCTATTTTCCCATCAGTTCAGATTCCAAGTATAATCTTGATCACAGTCCTCTTCACTAATTCTTTCATACTTCGATAATCATAGTTCATCATAGTGAGTTGATTAAAAACCTCAAGATTTCGCGGTATTTCTTAGCTTTGGCCGCTCCCGCTTGAGCAGTCTTCGCTACTGAGTCATAGAAAAATTGTTTAAAAATTCTTCTTCACTCAATATCTGACCACTACTGTTTTCATCCATGGACAGAGATGAGTATAGGGCCTCACCAGGTTTTTTCTTACGTGAAATATTTATTTGTCCGGCGTTTCGTCAAAATCGTCATTTCCAAGGCTTTGAAATTTCAAGGAAAGTTTTCGCGTATTCCAAGGCGTAAAATTTTCTGAAATGTTATGTTGCTCAGCAAAGTGCCATTCACTTTAGTTAGCATCGAATGGAAATTCCGAGTACGGTTTCTCACCTATGTTTCAGCAGCGCCAGCATCCGCCCCACTCTTTCTTAGTGCTTTTCAGAGGTAATGGAAACAGTGAGACTAACTGGCCGTGCACTGCTTTAACGTGTCCATGTGCATTACATTACGTACTCACTCTTATATACTGGGATGTGGGGCGAGAAATCAGCACTTATAGATGTTCTCATCTCTTGCTCGGATCATGGTGCTTCAACCAGAAAGCCCCAAGGGTTTCCTAGCAAGTATTTGTTCATGTGGGCCAGTGTTGTGCATGACAAGAAACTTAAAACCCACACGACTTGCTCTTCTGTGTTGGCCAAGTGGTGAAACCGGGGTCAAGTTGTGCGTTGCGTAGTTCTCAGCGGGGGTGTCGGGTTTTGTGGTTTTGGGGTTGGAGAAAGGCAAAGATGTGAACGAGGGTTGCATTTTCGGAAGCTGAGGCGGTCCTCTTAGGATGGCTTTTTGTTTCGAAGAGTCTGTCTCTATCCCTCCTCTATCTTTCTCGGGAGTGTAGGCATAGGAGTAATAAGGAGCTTGCTGGAGGATTGGTCAAGGGGTCGTATGAAGATCCCTTTTAAGGGGAAGCTCGAATCACCTGGAGTTTTTTTCCCAAGGTGATGGTTAAGTATGCAAGGAAATGCTGTCCATCCCCTAAGCTACGTAGTCGGTTTCTTCTGTACTACAGAAAGTACACGAATTCCGTTTCAACATTTAACTATTCACATTTTGATAACCTCCACCCGAGTGTTTTAAATTTGAGAAGACGAGAGTGCACTCAAATTTTTTTGAAGTCAATGATAGAGGTCTACATGAACGACATTACATCACAAACATGATGCAACGTTCAAATTCAAGATCCTCAATTTCTTACTTCTGACCTCCACTCATATCGAGGTTAATAGGAACAGGATTTTAATCGATCGGAGCTCCACTCTCAGATACCTGTCTCTCAGTGCTCGGTCAATTAGAGGAGGACAGGGACGAAGGCCGAAGGAACTTACCTAGTGGAGGGACAGGCGAACCTCTTACGGGTGAGGAACGACACCGGCGATCTACATTGCCGTCCCCTTGGCGCTATTGGCGCCACTTTCGGTGCGGTGGACGCCTCAGGTTCTATGTTTTTTCTTGGTTTTTTGTTCTTTCTTCCATCACTGACGTCTCGAACTCAATTTCCTGCGTACTGCCCTTTCATCGTGAAATCTGCCTTCAAGTTACGCTGTTTGAACTTGGAGCACTGGTAAATACTGTGGGCCACTTGGAGGTGTTTCGGTGGATCGCTCCATACTTTGATGACGATGAGTACATAGGCGAAGGCTGGCTTCTGCTCTTCAGCGAGACTTATTTACAATTGTAGACATCCATCTACCTCGTCACTTTGTGTCGCGTGAACTTTGAATCCTTATCCATATAGGATTTTCTTTCTGAATGTTACAGTTAAGAAAGAGGAGTGGCACTTTTAAAGGGGTAGAGCTTATGGATGCAGCAGAGAAATTCCGAATGGGTAGTGATCTTGAATTATGGGTCTTTCAAGGCCCATAACACTAGGCAGTGCCCTCCTGCCTGACGAGGTTCTATTCTTGTGCATGTTGAATCCAACCAAAAGAAACTTTACATTGATCGTTAAGGCAGTCTGATGTTGCTCATTGTTAAGCAGTCAATAAGAATAGATTTGCTAAAACATTCGAGAAATTCTGTTTTGGCAACTTCTTGGGGTGTACGTCAGAAAATAAGATTCGCGACCCGGTGCTGTGCCTGAGACTGGGTAACACTACGCGGCGTGGTGGCGTGACTTCCCATACTATTAGGTGATCTCAAAAGTCCGTGCATATTTTGGACTTTTTTTGAGCCTTCTCTACTTAAATTACATGAATCTATCATCAACGTGCAGCATCACTGACTGAGCTTGTCGCCTACCGACCCGCCGAAGAGCAGCTTAAAGTTTCAGAAGCTGGCAGCTACGAGGTGAAAAGGCAGTGAGGTCGATTTCGAGGTGCCTTTTGGAATCGTATTTTTTGTCAGCAAGAACAATCCGTCGTGAAGGCCCCCTCCTCTTGTTGGACCGTTAATTTTCGCTCATGAACGGCTAGCGGATGGCGAACGTATGGACGAGTTGGCCGTAGCGCGTTCGGCGACACCATACGAATTCACTTCTGCGAGCGCGCTTTCAAGTACTTGCTCGGCAAACCAGCGCACCTTACCGTGTGAAAAAATCACACCCTCGCATCTTCCTCGACAGCCGAGCTACTCCTTCGTGTGGTATATACTCCTCCGATGCGTTCTCTCTTATCCGTAATCGCTCTTCGGTCTATTTGGTGACCATCTGGAGAATGGCGAGTATGCCTGAGCCATTCTTGGCACTGTGGTACAGCTCAAATTTATGAAGCAGACTAATGATCTTTTTCGGCAAGGTTAAGGGGCTGTAGCGATTGAGTTCCACTGCAAATCAAAAGATGTGCAAGCACTGACCCAGTGATGCGAGAAAGTCTTTGCTCCTACATTTGGGATTTTCACTTGACGAAATTTTTACCATTATCTAAAAATTGCTAGTATACCACGAAGTTGAGCCCTATCTCGTTTGAGTTTCAGTACTTCTCTCACCATTTGAACCCGTTTTATGAACTTATTAACGCTTGGCTCTCTGAAACTTTGAGAATGCAATCAAATCTCTTGAGAAAAGTCAAAACGAATCATATTCGACAAGTGGTCGGTAAAGTGCACCACTAATCAGACAATGCTTTCTTTCTACAGTGAAGAAAAATAGATGAGTCGTGCAGTAGCAGGAGATACCTCTAACATTTGCCACGAGGTGTCCGCCGGAATCAGGCAAAAAAAAAGGATTTTTCCTGTTGAATATGCCTAATCCTCATAACAGGTGATCAAGTTTTACCTTTGAGTCCTTAGGCAAGTTCAGCATCAAAGGCGAAGCCGCACGGCAAAGCAAAGTTTCTTTTTTAACGAGTTGTTAGCAGAAACCGACCATGAGTTTGGTGTTGTCTTGAGCATTGCTCCCATAGCGTGCTAGTAAGTATAAGCCTTGTGGATTTGTTTCTGACGTTCGTCATTTGTCTTTGGCAGTTTTTCGATGCCCTCTGTTCCGCAGCGTTGGTGTTCGACAATTTATATTGTTGGGATGATCTTGTTTACCCAGGTAATAATGCTCCTATTCTAGTTTACCCCTTGGTGCCAAACTTCTAGCTTCTCAACATTTAGACTCTCTTTAGTGCTCCCATGTGATGCGAATAAAGTTTGGTTTTTCTACGATTTCTGCCTTAAAAATAGTGTCCGTTTTCTTTCTTAGCATTTTTATGATTTCACTTTCTCTGAAGATTTTTGGTAGTTATGAAACTGCGGATTTCATCAGTGGCCCACGAACGTCTCGGCCGTCAATGGCTTTCAAGGCGTAATTTTGAGTCAACATCCCACCCCTCTTCACCACTAATCCCCATCGTGCCAGTTATTTACGACATAATTACGGATCGGGAGAATGGAGCCGACTGGTATTCTTTCTGAAGTCCCATCTTCGGCCTCTTGCAGGCTTCCATTTTCTTCAGCCGATTGAAAATCGTCATTCTCCTGCATAGCGATTGCGAAAATTCAAGGACTGCATTCAAACTCAATCATTTCTTCTACAGAATACGTATTGACTTAATTTCTAACCCTAACAATAGCACGTTGTCCTTCACAACACACGGTCTTTCCAGCGTTGCAATAATAAGGGTTCGCTGAAATGCGGACGCAGTCGAATTCAAGCTGTTCTTTTTTGAATGAGCAGATATGCCGGATGATGCGTTTTCACAAAACCCTGAAATCCTTTTCTGAATAAGTTTTGCTGACAGGCTGTTTATGGCCGATTCGATTTGGTGCTATTCCTTGCTGCTTTTTCAGAGGGTGATGTTCAGTCTGGGCGATGCAAACTTCAGCTGAACTGATTTACTTTCCGTTAGGAAAACATTACTAACGATAAGTAAGCACACTATCGTGGCGATGGCTATCTTTACTGAAGGAGCTTCTTCGAAGGAGTTTCTCCACTTCACTCACAGCGTAGCGCCACCTGAAATCAGCTATTTGCAAGCTCAGCCAACAACAAGTTTCAAAAATGATTTTTCTTTTCAGTACACGTTGGGCTTTAAAAGCGCTTTGCAGTTTATGGAAGCGTCGAATCATGACCTGCTTTTGAACTCGTGAAGCCTTGGAGCGCATGAGAGCGAGTAGCTGATAGCATAGATGTCACTTGAATAAATCAGGCTTAAA